AGAGCTGACTTTTCAATGCAGACTATGAAAGCCAGAAGAGCCTGGACCAAAGTATTCCCAGTGATAAATGACCACAGATGCCAACCCTGATTACTATATCCAGCAAAAATGTCTATTATAGTTGAAAGAAAATCGAAAATCTTCCATGACATAAATAGGCTGAAGGAATTCATGTCCACAAAACCAGCCCTTCAGAGAGTTCTGGAATCAATACAAAGAGCTGAAGAAAGGAATGACTACACCCAAGTGATTGGGGGAAAAAAATCGAATGAAGATATAATTGTGGGAAAGTACAGCTATATCAAGAATGTAAACAGAAATAAAAATGACAGGATTCAATACCCACCTTTCATTAATAACTTTAAATATTAATGGACTGAACTCCCCAGTCAAAAGACACAGACTATGTGAATGGATGAATAAACAAAACCATTTTTTTTTTTGTTGTCTGGAAGAAACTCACCTCACTTTCAAGGACAGACACTATCTCAAAGTGAAAGGATGGAAAAAATAATATATCAAGCAATTGGCACTAAGAAAAAAGCAGATGTAGCAGTTCTAATATCTGACAAAATAGACTTTAAACTAAAACTAATAAAAAGAGACAAAGAAGGACACCTAATTTTGATCAAAAGAACAATAAATCAAAAATATATTACAATCATGAATCATTTTAATACATCTGAAATTATGAAGAAATGTGATCATATGTTTTGGTTTGCCATTTTTATTATATAAACCAAGCATGTCTGGAAATGTCCTCTTTCATGTTTGCCCTTTTGGACATGTGCTTTATGACCAGGAGTAATATTTGCCCCAAACTGTGTCAACCATCTTTTCTACTTGAATTATTATCATCTCAGGTCTATGCTTCTTATCCTTCACTGAGCATGCTTAGAAACATGCACAAACTTAAGGGATTTCCCTGTAAGAACATGTACAGCCTTCCTTGATAAAATCCCCATGCTTTGTGTGTTTTAGGAGGGTACTGCTTTTAAATATCTGCCACAGAAAATTAATGTTTTTTCTCTTCAGTTTTCTTTGATCTGCTTGATTTTTTATTTTTAACTTTTTTTCTTTTTCAAATACTTTAATACAAATCCATTTCATTCACTTGAAATAGTTTTAGACTATTTGCATTTTAAGAGATCGTTGAGCAATTATTTATTTGCATTTATAAATGAACACATATTGTACATATGGTATATTGCACATATAATGGTTTCACAGTATGGTTTTTTATTTATACTTTTGATAATTATGTTCTTCACTTGTTTTACCTTTTTTGTTTCAGGTATTAAGAATATTGTCTTTTTTTTGTGTTTTAGACATCTCATTATGTAACACAAGCTCTCCTCAAACTCATGGTCTTCCTGTGCCAGCCTCACAAGTGTTAGGATTAAAATCTTAAGCTAGTATGCCATATCTCATTTTCCCAAAGATTTATTTATCTATTTTTTTTAATTTATATGTGTTTGGGTACTTTTCCTGCATGTATGAATGTGTACCATGTACCATGTGCATGCCTGCTACCTGTGGAGGCCAGAAGAAGGCATCAGATTTCCTGGAACTGTATCTATGTCGTCCACCTTGTGGATGCTGAGAGCCAAATCTGAATCCTCTGCAAAACCATCAAGCACTATTAGCCCCTGAGCTATCTCTCCAGGTCCCATGCCTGATCATAATTGGAATTTTATAACAATACTATTTTCTACCTTCTATCATCATGTCAATTACACTTACCAAACAGAATGTTTGGGTGGCATGCTAGAATTTGTATTATAAGTTAATGACTATGCTGGACATGGTGGTACACAACTTTAATCCCAGTACTTGGAAGGCAGGGGCAGGCAAATCTCTGTGCTATAGAAGCCAGCTATGGTATACATAGCAAGTTCCAGAGGAGTTGGAGCTACCAAGAGACTGTCAAAACCCTGCCCCACAAAAAAATTATAGCTAGTCTAATTTTCCCCAGTTAATTATTTGTTTAATAACCACATACTTAGAAGAAGCATTTCATTACAACAGCCCTGACATATTCAATAATGACTTTCTGAGCTAAGATGCATCTTTTTCAAAATTGGCTGTAATTTTTAGGCTTATAGTTGAATTATTACAGTTATACAATATTGTACTCAGTATAAACCCCATAAAACATAAAATTAAATGAGGTTTTAACCTTTAAAAAAGATTTCAATTTCATTATTAAAATACACAGTTTCATAGAGAAAAATTAACTTTCAATGCAATTGACATTAAGATGTTTCCACATGCATTTCTAATCTCTTTATATCTGATTATTACTAGTGACAGTTGGCTACTTTCTGAACTCCTTGGCATCTGAGCATTGATATAATGTCATCAGGTACATTTCAATGGTAATGTCTTTCACATTTACTAATTATTAATATTTTTAATCAATGAAAAAGATCTCCATTTCATTTTAGAATGTATTGTTCCTTGCAGAGAAACTCATTGTTTTTGCTACTAACTCTGAGATGTTGGCACATGAATCTCTAATCTGTATGTATCTGATTATTACTGGTCATAATCGGTTGCACTTGGACCATTGGTGCCTGTGTATGTCTATGAAGTCATCGGGTGGATTTCAATCCTATTGGTGAGGCTTTCTCCTGTCATTTCTAATTGGTTTACTGAGTGTTTCACTTCCTTCTTTGTTGTGGAAAATCTAGTGACTGATTTTGCCTTTTGCCTTCTAATCTGTATGTATCTGATTATTACTGGTCATAATCGGTTGCACTTGGACCATTGGTGCCTGTGTATGTCTATGAAGTCATCGGGTGGATTTCAATCCTATTGGTGAGGCTTTCTCCTGTCATTTCTAATTGGTTTACTGAGTGTTTCACTTCCTTCTTTGTTGTGGAAAATCTAGTGACTGATTTTGCCTTTTGCCTTACATACCTATCACGCTGGAATGCAGCATTTCCTGTTTAGAAACTGAAACTTATCATGCTAATAGGGCATCTGGCCCTCTAGATTGTAATAGGATACTAGTCTGCCATGCTAATAAGGGATCCCATATGTTGTGTTATGATTGCACTATTACCCCTTTATAAGCCTGTACTTTCCTGCAATAAAGCTGGTCTGAACCTGGTCTCCTGCATCTGAATGTGATGACGCTGGTGCAGATCCTTACCAGCCCTGAGATCTGGGCTGGAGGACTGATCGGAGGAACTGAGAGAGCAGGAGAGTGGCCATAGCCGGAGGAGAGCAACCACAGCAGGTGACCACACCTGGTGCCCAAACATGGGCCTGGGACCCCCTCCCCACAGAGCTGTAACACTCTGAGCTGTAACAACTTGGGCTCCTGATGCCCCCTTTTCCAGTGCTCTTCCCATGGTTGCTGGCTGCTTTTGTTTTGTTCTG